CGCGGACTTCTAGGATCTGCGCTGGACCCCCCCTCCCTGGCGCGCGGAGCGCGCCAGGGGCGGCGCCAGAGGCGCCGCTGGGGGGGCCCAGCGCGGATCCAAGAAACCCGCGCCGAGCGCCAACAAACTGTATGCTTATGGCTTTTGTCTCCTTCGATCTGCGAGCTCCCGGGAACTGGGCGCGGCCGCGGCCGACGATGCCGGGAGTCCTGCTCAAAATGCACAGGAACTGCCGTTGGGCAACGTACCCCATCTTTCCGTACCCATTTCCATTTCGATCGTCCTGATTGGCAGAAAGCCGCCCCCCCTCCCCCTCTAGGAACTGCGGCCGCGGCACACGAGGCGGGGATGGACACGCAGGCCTCGAGCCTGAGAGGGAGCGATAATATATATATATATAGAGAGAGAGAGAGAGAGAGAGAGAGACTGTTTCAGGGGGGGCCGTCGTCGTCGTCGTCGTCGCCGTCGTCGTCGCCGTCGTCGTCGCCGTCGTCGTCGCCGTCGTCGCCGTCGTCGCCGCCGCCCACGAACTCGGCGCGGCCGCGGCCCGCGAGGCCGGGAGCGGGCGCGGGGCGCCCGGCGGGGGCGCCCGCGTCCTCGCGGGCCTGGCGCAGCTGCTCCTCGGCGGTGACAGCGCGCTGCCAGGCCTCCTGCTGCGCGCGGCGCGCCTCGGAGGCCACCTGCCGGCGCCGCGGCGTCGTCGCGGCGTCGCCGTCGCCTTTCGAGCCCTCTTGTTTGTTTTCCTCTCCAGCCTCAAGGAAGTCAGGTGAGAACGGCGGGGACGGAGGCGACGTCCCCCTGTGACAGACCCTACCTGCAACGCGTTGGGAAGCAGGAGGTCGTGGAGACGCGAGGGACGTCGCGACTCCAACACCGACCACACCCGACTCGTGGGAGCCTCCCATACCATCTTGGCGGCTCTTGCGGATCGACGCTGGTCGACGCTGGATCGACGCTGATCGCCGCTGAATCGGCGCTCGAGGTGGCCAGTGGCGTCGCTAGAGGCCTCCTAGACGGGGTCCGAGTAGACGGGGTCGAAGGATTGCACCCGATCGGCAATGCATCGGCGATGCATCGGCGATGCAATGCATCGGCGACATCGGCGTGGGGAAACACGGGCTCCACATCGAGCCGCATCGTCGATGCATCGGCGATTCGGTGCGATCCTCCGACCTCATATAGGGGGCCTGGAGTCGTCGCGGCGTCGTCGTCGCCCTCGAACCTCGAGCCTGGAAGCTTCGCTCCTTCTGTGACACGAGCCTAGCACTGCAAGGCTCGGGAGCGGCCAAGAGGGGGGTGTCCAAGAGGGGGGGGTGCAAATCATGACTGGCGGCATGTGCGCGGCCCAGCGGGGGGGCCAGGGACGTAATGAAATAAGAAGAAGCGCCATGAAATTTGGGGAGATATCATGGCCCACGCCATGATATCCCCCCCCCCCTAGTCATCACCCCCTCTTTTCCGCCCCCGAAAGGCAATGCAAGACCATGCTGTTCGGCGAGAGCCGGGCACCTCCCGCACGCTCTCGACGAGAGGCAAATACTGGAAGGCATTCCGAGGCTGAAAAGCCGCCGAGAGCCGCCGACAGCGTCCGAAAACCTCGAGCCTCGTACCTCGAAACTTCGTCCCCCCTTCCCAGACATCTGGCTGCTCCAATTTTTCCGATGCGTGGGCCACAGAGGTCCGGAACGCTACCCGAGGGTCGGCCTTTCGTCCAGAGCCGTTTTATTTACGACCCCGAGGCCTGGCGAGGGCCCCCACAGGCCGAAAGCGCGAAAAACCGCCCGCTCCACATTTTGGGGGAGCGTCGGATCTGTGGGTTTGAGCCGGTCCCCCCAAAGGTACCCCTGACCTCCTTCCCCTCCTCCTCCTCCTCTTCCTCCTCCTCCTCCTCCTCCTCCTCCTCCTCCTGCGGACGCGCGCGGCCGCGAAGGGCGTCTGACGGGCGCTCTGGCCGCGATGGGCGGCGCCGGCGCCCCCCTGCGGCTCGCGGTGGCCGACGGTCGGCTGCGGCGGTTCAGAGAGGGGGCCCAAGAAAGAGCTGGGGCCCGGGGGAGGCAAATGAGAAGGCGAAAACCCACCCCCACCCCCAGTCCCGACTCCATCCCCGAACCCGCGATTCAAGGAGTCGGAACTGGGGGTGGGGGTGGGTTTTCGGGGTCCAGGAATGGAGAAAACTCACCCCCACCCCCAGTCCCGACCCCTTGAATCGCCGGCTCGGGGATGGGCGTCGGGACTGGGGGTGGGGGTGGGTTTTCGCCTTCTGAGCAAAGGAGGTCCCAGGCTGAGCCTTCCCTGTCCCAAGGTTACCTCTTGAACCCGCTCTGTCATTGCACCGGCCTTGCAGACGTGCTGCAGCGGATTCCTGCGCGGATTCCTGCGTGGATTTCTGCCCGAAACGGCGAGCGAAAAACGGAGTGAATTTCGCGTGGATTATTTTGGGTCTTCATATCTGGCCAAACGAATCCACACGACCTCGAAATCCGGAACGAAATTCTCCAGGACACTCTGGGCCCATCCTATCGTTTTCCGAACGAAATCCGCTCTGCGATGTTGACGCGATGACACTCAGCGTCTGAGCCCATGCGGCAGCCGAGCGGACCTGGGGTCGAGCCCGCTCGGCTGCCGCGTGGGGAAGATTCCCGCCGCCCTTCTTGGGGATCGAGCCCATTCGCCTGCCCGCTCGGCGGCCCATGGGGCTCGGATGCCGAACGGGCTCGGAAAGGAACCCTTGGGAAGGGGGCGTGGGCAAAGACACATGTACACGTATGCCCCCCGCGGTGCTGCGTCCACGATCGTCCACGATCACATGGCCGTCCAGCGAATGCGTGCGGGCCCAAATTCCCGACGTCGCGGCGGCTCGCAGAGGCAAAAGCGGGAAACGCGAAGGATTCGGGCCCCTCATGAGGCCCCCCATCTGGCCGAAACTGGCACCTTCCCCCAAACACCAACCACAGCACCCCCAAAGAGATCGACCGAAACCTGTGAGAGAGCGTGATCCACCGCCGCTTTACTGTGGAAAATTGCCAGCCTTTTCCTCCGGAACCCGGGGGTCCCCCCCCCCCCTCCGAAAATCCCCCCCCCCCTGCTGGAACCCCTCCCCCCCCCCCCGCCCTCCCTCCCGGCAAAACCCCCCCCTCCCCTAACCCCTCCCCCCCCCCCCCCTCCCCCTCGAAAACCGGGGGGGGGTCACTACCGGTTCGAACCCCTCCCCCCCCCCCCCCCCCCCCCCTCCGGATCCGGAACCGGGGGGGGTCACTACCGGTTGGGGGGGGGTCACTACCGGTTCGAACCCCCCCCCCCCGCACCGCCAGCAAACGACTCCCGGTCCCTACCACCGCTCGCATCACATCCCCCACTGTTGTTCCCAGCACCACTGTCCTCACCACCACTGTCCCCACTGGTTCCACCACCGTCCCTATTGTCCCCACCAGTGCCCCCACCACTGTCGCACTGTCCCCACTGTTCCCACAACTGTTCCCACCACGGTTCCACTCTCCCCACTGTCTCCACGGACCCAACCACTGCCTATCCCCACTGTCCCCACTGTCCCACTGACTCCTCCGCTGTCCCACTGAGCTGTCCCACTGTTTCCACCACTGTCCCCACTGTCCCCACCACTGTCCCCACTGTACCTCTGTCCCATTGTCCCACCGCCGTCCTCGCCACCGCCTTTACCAGTGTCCCCACCACCATTGTACCCTCCACTGTCCCAGTGTTTCCACCTCATTCCCACTGTCCCCACACCACTGTCCCCACCACCACCGTTCCCACCACTGTCCACTGTCCCCCCTGTTCCCACCATTGTCCCCACCACTGTCCCCACCACTACCGTCCCCACCACTGTCCCACTGTCCCCCCACTGTCCCCACCACTGTCCCGCTGTCCCCTCACCACTGTCCCCACCAACACCGTCCCCACCACTGTCCGCACCCCCACTCGGTTTTCGAGGGGGGGGGGGTTCGAACCGGTAGTGACCCCCCCCCTTTTCATGATGAACTGGGGGGGGGGGGAGGGGTTCGAACCGGTAGTGACCCCCCCCGGTTTTCTGGAGGGGGGGGGGGGGGAGGGGTTCGAACCGGTAGTGACCCCCCCCGGTTTTCCGCCAGCAGCGGTAGAACACGCTCTTTCAAACCTGTGGTCCACGCCCCACACGCTGCTGGCCCCCAACTGGACGGAGGAGGCCCCGAGGACACGAGATGGATCCCAGGCTGAGCCATCCCCGTCTGAGGCCACTCTCCCTTCGGTGGCAACTCATGGGAGCCTCCCACACCATGTTGTCGGCGTTTGCGAATCGACGCTCATCGACGCCAAATCGACGCTCAATCGACACCAATCGGCGCCAACCGACGCTACGTCGGCACTAATCGACGCGAGCCGACGCAAAAATCGGCGCCGTGTCAACGACTCCCAGACGCTGCTCGATGCTCGTCTTGGCGGCGCGCAGAGGGGGGTGGGGGGAGGGGGGAAGGCTTCTTAGAAGCACCCCTGCCTCTTAGAAGGTGCGGGCCTTCTCTGTAGATGGAAGGCCGGCACCTTCTGAGGAGCAGCCTCCTTCTCAGAAGCTTTCCCCCCTCCCCCCACCCCCTTTGTGCGCGCCGCCAGTCCTCGACGCGGAAGGCAGAGAACTCACGGGACCCGCTGCCGAATCTCCCCACGGGGGCCGCCTGGACGGTTTCTCCCGGGGCCGTAGGCGACCCGAGAGGAGGAGGGCGAGGAGGGGAAGGAGGAGGTGGAGGAGGAGGAGGAGGAGGAGGAGGAGGAGGATGTGGAGGGGGAGGAGGAGGAGGAGGATGAGGAGGAGGAGGAGGAGGAGGAGGAGGAAGAGGAGAAGGAGGAGGACGGGTCGCCTAAGCCCTTCGGAGAAACCCTCCAGGGCCGCCCGTCCCGCTCTGGAGATGGGCCCCGTCCCAGAGCCGCCAGGAGCCGGTGGACGGAGCCGCGGGGGGAGGGGGCCGAAGGCGGCGGCTCGCGGAGGCCGGCGTCGCCCTCCGGCCGCCAGCCTACTCCTGGCGAGGGAGAGCAAGAAGAGCATACAGTTATGTCGGGCGTGTCCCCCTACAGGAGGATTTTCGACGAAAAATCACACATACCCCCAAAATGCCCCAAAAAGATCAAAAAATACTATTTTTTAAAAAAGTCCCCATATTATTCTTGGACCATTTTTTTATTATTGTCTTGGTATTTTTAATTTTTCGTCGAATGTCCCCCTTGTAGGGGGACAGGCCCGACATAAGCATACAGCGGAGGCCAGCCCACAAGAAACCCGCCGCAAGAAGCCCCAGCCCCGAGACCCCAGGACGTCCATGGATGTTTGGCGTGGGGGCGCGTCACGCCTTCCATCGCAAAACCATCGAGCCCCCCGAAACCCAGGGCACCCTGGAGGCAAGCAGGGTGCTTCTTGGCATGGGCCTCCACTCGGGAGCGGCCAAGAGGGGGGTGGCCAAGAGGGGGGGCTGCAAATCGTGACTGGGCGGCGTGTGCGCGGCCCAGCGGGGGGGCCAGGGACGTAACGAGATGAGAAGAGGCGCCCTGAAATCTGGGGAAATGTCATGGCCCACGCCATGATACCCCCATCCCCCCCTATATAGTCTAGTCATCACCCCCCTCTTTGCCGCCCCCGATCCACTGTGGGCAGACACTCTCGGAGAGCTCCGCGCGGGTCTCTTGGCTCGGCGCGGGGGCCCCCTGCGCTCAGTGGCAGACTCGCCGCACAGCCCGTCACCGCACCGTTGGGGGGCCTTGGAGGCCCCAGCCGCCCGAGACATCCTCGGAGGGAGCCCCCCAGGTGCCAAAACTCGGCGGTGGACAAACCTCCCTTTCGAGAAAGACCTCCCCTGAGTGAGAACGGCCTGGGACCGACATCGACGGACCTGGCCCCGCAAAAACGACGGCCGCGACGCCCCCTCGCGAACCGAAAGTGGCCAATTCCTCAAATCGACGTGTCAGGGCAGGAGGTCGATCCACCTCCGGAAAACCGTGCAGCTCCCCCCGAGCCCCGACGGACTCAGCACACGATGCGGCCGCCGTGCCGTCTGGCAGCGCCCCAGGGGAGCGCCGCGCCAGGGGGGGGGGCCCCGGCGCCGACCCGAGAGAACATCCGCGCGGGCCTCCGAAGATGTGTGTCCCAGACGGCCGGTTGCTCCAATGTTTTCCCGAGGCGTGGGCCCCAGAATAGCCAGCCTCGGACGTACCCCTATCCCTTTAAGATGGGCGAGCAAAAAGCGAGGACAGTCTGAGGGATAGACCCTCAAAAACTGAGGAGATCCTCAAGGTCGGCATCGAGGTGAGGTGATGTCAAACATAGGGATAGGGATATGTTCCAGGCTGGCAACAGAAGTCTGGCCCACTTCCCTGGGGCCCGTTTTTCGTTTGGAGCCGTTTTTGTGACGCTCCCGAGGCCCGGCGGGGGCTCCCAGAGGCCGAAAACGGCCCAAAACCGCCCGCTCCAATTTTCTGGAGCGTCGGGTCTCTGGGTCTCTGTCATGTTTTGTCCTTCCCCTGGCCTCCTCCGTGCCCTTGCCTTCCGGGATGGACACGCGGGCCTCGAGCCTGAGAGGGAGCGATATAAAAGGGAATGTTTCAGGGGGGGCCGTCGTCGTCGTCGTCGTCGTCGTCGTCGTCGTCGTCGTCGCCGCCGCCGCCGCCGTCGTCGTCGTCGTCGTCGTCGTCGTCGTCGTCGTCGTCGTCGTCGTCGTCGTCGTCGTCGTCGTCGTCGTCGTCGTCGTCGTCGTCGTCGTCGTCGTCGTCGTCGTCGTCGTCGTCGTCGTCGTCTTCGTCGTCGGCGGCGGCACATCGTCGATAGATCGGCGATAGCCGCCAACTTGCACATTCGCATGTTCGGGCCCCTCTCGGCGATGCATGGGCGATCGGGGGTCGATGTACCCCCCCCCCTGAGCAGATCCCCCCGTGGCTCTCGGGATAGTATTCAAGCCTCTGGCGGCCGTTCGGGACGGTCTGGGCACCCCTGGAACGCAGCCGCGGGAACACATCCCGAGGCCAGAAAGCCGCTGAGAACAGACGAACCCCCCCGAAAACCTCGAACCTCGAACCTCGAAACGTCGTCCCCCCCTACGCCTATCCCCCCTGAAAGTTGCCCCCGCTGGCAACCACATGTGAACCCTCCCCTGCAGGTCAGATACTTTCTGAAAGATCGGTTGGGGTTCAGGATTCGAGAGTTGTCTGCAACTACAACTAAAGGAACCCGAGCCGGATCGAATCGGAATCGGATCGCGTGAAGCCAGGTTGGAATCGAAATCGGAAGGCAGGGGGGACAAGGAATAAGGTGCAGGAGGTGCTTGGCCCGACTTTCGTTGCGAGTCGTCGCATGTCGTCGTCGCCGCACGTCGCTTTACGCACGTTTTCGTCGCACGTCGTCGTACACGTCGTCGTTCCCGTCCTCTTCATCTTCGCGGCACGCGTCGTCGTTCGCGTCGTCGGACGTCGTCGGACGTCGGTCGTTGTCGGCGGCGGGCCCCTGGAGGCCCCTGGGGGCTCCCTGAAGCCCCTGGAACCCCCTGGGCACTTCTAGGGGAGCCCCGGGAGCTCCTGGGGGCCCCAGTTCTTCCCGGGGGGGGGGGGGGCGGGCGGGGGGAGCCTCGAGGGCCCTTGGGGGGGCCCGTGCGCCCCTGGCGTGCCCTCGGGGGGCCCTGGAAGCCCCAGGGGCCTCGTCGTCGTCGTCGTCGTCGTCGTCGTCGTCGCCGTCGCCGTCGCCGTCGCCGTCGCCGTCGCCGTCGCCGTCGCCGTCGCCGCCCCACGGGAGAACCTGGTCCGAATGAGAACCGAGCGGAGGCAGATGCGGCAGAGGGGCCCGAGGCCTCCCGCAGCAGCTCCTGGGGAAGCACCAGGGGCCCTCGCACGCACGAGGAGGAGGAGGAGGAGGAGGAGGAGGAGGGGTTTAAACCCGCGTGCTCCCGCCCGTGAGTGGGTGCCCCTGGTCTCAGCACCCCGCGCAGGCAAAACGCGCCCGAGGCGGGGTGGGCCAGCGGCCTCATCTCACGGCGTCGCGCTGCCGCCACTCGATGACTCCTGGAGTCGCCCCGCGAGCGGCGGCAGTTTGAAGAAATGCTGCCGCCGCCCTCTCAGAGCTTGAGGAGCAGCCTGATGGACGGCCGCAGCCGCTCCTCCGCTCTGCGCTCTTCCAGGGACCGCCCTGGCCGCTGGTCCCTGGACTCGTGGGCCTTCACGGCCGCCTTGCCTGGCGCAGGGCTGTGGCCTAACCCCTCGCCACGCTGGGGTGCATTGCGGCCTAGCCCCTCGCCGCGCAGGGGCCCTCCGTGGCCGAACCCCTCGCCGCGCTGGGGCCTGCTGCGGTCTGGCCCCTCACCGCGCTGGGGTGCTCCGTGGTGGCCTAACCCCTCGCCGCGCAGGGGTCTGCTGCGGTCTAACCCCTCACCGCGCTGGGGCCCGTCGTGGCCTGACCCCTCGCCACACTGGGGGTCGGTGCGGTCTAACCCCTCACCGCGCTGGGGAAAATCGTGGCCTAACCCCTCGCCACGCTGGGGGCTGCTGCGGTCTAACCCCTCACCGCGCTGGGGTGCTCCGTGGCCTAACCCCTCGCCACGCAGGGGCCTGTTGCGGTCTAACCCCTCACCGCGCTGGGGTCCCATGTGGCCTAACCCCTCGCCGCGCAGGGGCCTGCTGCGGTCTGACCCCTCACCACTATGGGGTCCGCCGTGGCCTAACCCCTCGCCACGCTGGGGATCGTTGCGGTCTAACCCCTCACCGCGCTGGGGTACTCCGTGGCCTAACCCCTCGCCGCGCTGGGGCCTGCTGCGGTCTAACCCCTCACCGCGCTGGGGTCCTCTGTGGCCTAACTCCTCGCCACGCGGGGGTCCTCTGCGGTCTGCCTCCTCGCCGTGCTGGGGTCCTTCCTGGCCAAAACCCTCACCATGCTGGGGTCTGCTGCGGTCTAACCCCTCACCGCGCTGGGGTCCTCCGTGGCCTAACCCCTCGCCACGCTGGGGTCCTCTGCGGCTGCCAGGTGGTACCCTGTGCTGTGCTGTACATCTGGGATCTGCTGGAGGTTGTCATCGCTGTCCTGCTTGTCTGCGGGCTGCTGGAGGCAATCCTCGCTGTTCTCCTCTTCTAGGAAGTGGTCGAGGTCTGCCATGTCCATGGTGCTCCGTCCTGCTGGTGGGGGACGGGCACCCCTCTGCATCCCGTCTGGCGCAGGGCTGTGGCCTAACCCCTCGCCACGCTGGGGTCCTCTGCGGCCTACCCCCTCGCCGCGCAGGGGCCCATGGTGGCCTGACCCCTCTCCACGCAGGGGCCTGCTGGAAGGTTTCTGCCGCTCCTCTGCCCTTCTCGCCCCCAGGGACCGCTCTGGCTGCGGTGCCCTGGGCCCCTGGGGCCTCTCGAGCTCGGGCGCTGGCGTTGCCGTGCGCAGCTCGGCGGGGCTGCTGGTGGCCCTGGCCTCTGGGCTCCTCCTCGGCTGTCTGGCTGAAGCCCTGCTTGGCACTCGCACTGCTGCTTGCGGTCGCTGGCTGCGGCTCCTCGCCGCTGGCTCAGTCACGCCCAGGAACTGCTCAGCCATCGCTCTGCGCCGCTCTGCCTCCTGCGGGTCCTGCTGCTGGATCTGCCTGCGCGCCTCTCCGGTGTTGAGCTATGCCAGGCGGCAGATCTCCTCCGCCGCTCGGCGCTGGCTGCGCTGGCGGCTCGGCCCTGGCACGTTGCTGAACAGCCTCTGGTAGACGCCTGTCTGCAGCGCCATCAGCACATGGGGCACGCACGCGGCCTGCCACGATGGCCGGCCCTGCTCGCCCTCTTTCTGGATCCAACAGCCTGCCAGCGACTGCATGAGCTGCTCAAGCCTGTTCCTCTCGAGCCACGCCACCTCCTGCTCGGGGTCCTGGTCAGCATCTCCTTTGTTCTGTCGAAGCCTTGGGTGGAGAAGGCCGGCCTCATCGGCTTCGCTCACGAACTTCATCAGGTCGGGCCCCACTGGCTTGGTCAGCGTAACTGCCACCTGCACGGCCGTCTGCATCAGGCTGTTGGCGTCGTGACTCTGATCGGGTCCTGCCATGGTCTCCATCTCCTGGTCGCTCGGCTCGCCCTCCAGCTCTGGGGCTTCACTGCCTGGGATCGAGTCATCATCGTCCAAGTTCTCTGGTGACCACTCTCGGCTGGCCTCCGCTGTTCTCGGCAGCGGCCTGCGCTCGCTGCTGGGGATGCTGTGCGCCAGGATGTTGTTCCTTCTGTTCTGGCAGGCGTCCATGTGCACTCTTGCTGCCTGCTGCCCTGTACCATGCGGGAGGGTAAGCATCCTGGTCATGAGCCTCCGTCGCGTGCGGTGCGTGTTGCGCCAGACGTCTTCGCAGAAGTCCTTGATATGCTGAAGCTCCTGCGCGGTGACGGCCCTGGTCTGCTCTTGCGTGTCCGTTCTGCCACCCACATTGGTGATGGCCAGGAGGTACGGTACGCAGTGCTCCATCCAGTCGTCCATGTCGTCCCAGACCTCTTGGTCGACCATGTTCATCCACTGCTCCGCGTAGCCCTCCATGTGGTCCACGAGCCCCCTGCTGGCTTGGACGACAGAGTGCGGGTGGCTGGGTGGCTGCTGTGGAGCTGGCTGCGGGTCCCCTGCCTCTGAGCTGCCCCCGTCCAGGTCGATCGCCTCGTAGTTACTCAGGCCGAGCTTGAAATCACCAGGCATGGTGATCTCGTTGAGACCCTCATCAGCTGGGTCTGCTGCTGGCTTAGCTCCTCTTGGCAGCTTGCCCCTCTGCATGTCCGCCAAGACCCGACGCCCTGCTGCTGTTGGGGGCTGACATGGCCTGGCCAGCTTCCTTGCCACTCCTGCCACGATCCTGCTCTTGTGGTCCCGAGGTAGCTGGTGCCGCCACATTTCTCGCACCAGAGCCAGCCATGGGAGACCTGCGTCTTGTAGGAGAAGTGCACCACCTGCGTGCCGATCTGCACCGCCTTGAAGTCGAGCCTGACGTTGCCGTGCTGGTCCTGGCGGCCGCCGTACTTCCCGAGGCATTCTCCCGTCTCTGCCAGCCTGTCTCTGATGCTTTGTCCTTTGGCTGGGCCACTGCGACGCGTTGCACACCACCATCGCGGATGTAGCATGCGCACGTCGTGTCCCAGCTGGGCTGCCCTGTCCCTCGCCGTCTGCGGCTGTCGGCGCTTGTCCTTGGGACGCTGAGGGGCCTTGTTGGGGTCCTCCACCGTCACCGCCAAGTTGATGGCCAGCAGCCGGTTTTGCACCGCCGTGGTGAGCTGGTCCCTGATCTGCTGCTGCGCGATGATGGCTGGATCCAGTGCTCCATGCTCCGCTCCCCAGCCTGCGTACTTGTCTGCCATCTCGTTTCCTATGACCCACCAGGTGGGACCATTCCACCTCTCCAGCTCGGCTGGGTGCTCGATCAGGTGGCTTGGGATGTGGTGGCCCATGATGGTGTCCGTGCTGTTCTGCAGCCGCTGCTTCGTCTGGAGCCAGAGGTCGTAGTTCGTGCTCCTGTAGTCCAGGTCCTCGGGATCCTGGATCTGCTTGAGTGCGTCCATGGGCGCACTTGCAATCGCTGACTACGTTGAGCCCCCTGACCGTCGCCGCCGTGGTGTACCCGATGGCTTTGCTCATAGCGGTGAGCTCTGCCCGTGGCACCGTGTGCGGCGCCCTGATCGTGCCGTACTAGGCGGCCACTTCCTGCGGGCGTCCGTGCTCGTCGAACCTGAAGGCCACCGCTGCCCAGCCGCAGCGTCTGAGGCGGGGGTCCTTGGCCGTTGCCCCACCACCTGAGCCGTCCGTGAAGACATAGTCTGCTCGAACCTTGTGCCCTGACTGGGCTGCCGCCTGAGCCTCTTCGCTGGTGCAGAAGATCTGCGCCGCCTTCGCCGCGTCCTCGTCTGGGTCGACCTTGGCTGCCCAGGCCGCTGGCGGGATGCCACGGAGCCAGAAGTGCAGGTCCTGCCGCTGGTCCAGCGCGTCCTTCGCCTTCTTCGCCAGGTCGGTGTCATTGCTGTGCCCTATCTCTGCGTTGGCAGGGCAGGCGTAGTAGCGGTGTTCCTCTGTCTCTGTCGCCTCGCCGCATCTCGCGCAGTTGTCGTCGCCTTATTGGTTGAGGTTGGCCGCCCTGCGGCGCTCCCTGGTCCAGATGGCCGCCACCGCTATGGTCTCCAGCATGGCTGCCTCTGCATGCTGTCCTTTGCGCCTCCTCCTCATCAGGTGGCGCTGCAGCTGATAGAGGTCGCCACCTGCCTGAAGTCCTTCTCCACAGCGATGGCCAGCTGCCTGCTGCCAGAGCTGCTGCTGCGCGCTCTGCTGGACTTCGTGCAGGAGCGCGCCGAAGTGAGGAATGTCATCTGGCTTGTAGGCCCACTCGTCACCTGCTGGGCTGATCCAGCTGTCCAGGCGTCGCGGTATCCAGCCTAACCCAAGCAGCTGCGCGATGACCCCTGCCATGGGCCCCTTGACCTGCTGCCACCTGCGGTTGGGTTCCAGGGCGTCCAGCTTGGCGTAGAGCAGGAGCCAGCCTCCCTGGTACCTCTTGAGCTCCGTCGGGTGGTCGACTATGGTGAGCCAGAACTGCTTGATCTGGTCGCCGATGGCTCGGGTTACCGCCTCTTGCGTTCCCCTCTGGATCAGGAGGATGGTGGACGTGCAGCGTCCAGCCTTGTGTCCGCCTGTGAGGAGCGCTGCCTCCGTGGCCCTGACCGACTTCGCCTCCGTGGGCGTGATGCCGTGCGCTGGTAAGTCCCAGGCCTGCTGGCAGTAGGCCCCTGCTGAATAGACCTTTGCCGCGCCTCTGGCGCCCGTCTTCGCTAGGTCCTTGAGCTTGGCCACCCTCTGCTTGGCCTTGGCCTGGCGCGCGGCCTGGGTGGGTCGCCGCAGCCGCTTGCCGAGGCTGGTGTCCACGCCGAGGTCGCGCACTACACCTGGTTGCTTGTTGGGAGTGCCCAGGCTGTCCAGGATGCTGGCGACTTCCGCCTGGAGGTCCTTGTCCGAGGCCACCGCCGCCGTCTTGACGGAGATGGGTATCGAGAGCTGCTTGAATCCATCGTGCACCAGCGCTGCCACGTACTTGACCTGGGCAATGACCTGCCGCCGCGCACCCGCTACCTGCAGGGCCAGGTCGTCCAGGTACTGCTGCATGACGACGAAGATGTAATTCCTGTGCGCCGCATCCAGGATGCCATACAAGAGCGGCCCTGTGAGGTCGACCGCTCGGCCACAGCCGGCTACCATGCTGTTGGCAGGCTCGAAGATGTCCGAGAAGAGGCTGTGGGCCATGATGGCCCTGGGCGCAAGGTACATCTGCACGGCCATTGCCAGCGGCAGCAACGGGCACTGGAGGGCGCTGGCCATCTCGATCAGCTGGTCGAGGCCTATGTTGTCGTAGAAGTTTGCCGCGTCGTAGAAGACTCCTGCTGCATGAAAGCCCATCTCCGTGGCGGCTTCTGCCCTCATCAGTCTGTGCATTGCCACTCGTAGCGCTGAGGAGCCAGCTACTGCCGTGTCCCAGAAGCCCGCCGCTGCCTTGCTCCAGGTGGCTACTATGGGCCTCCTGGCTGCGCTCCGGATGCGGCACGGCATGGGCATGAGGCCGATGGGGCGCTCGCCGCCGATTCCTGGCTTCTTGCCCAGCTGCAGCTCCAGCACCAAGTAGAATTGCCACGGCCACGCTGCCCGTTGCTCACAGCTGGTCAGGCACTGCACGAAGTCTTCCAGCCCCTGGGCGCCCATGGCCTTGGCCAGCATTGCGCTTCAGATGCTCCTTGGCCAGCATTGCGCTTCAGATGCTGGATGATGGAGCCAATGATGTCCTTGCTGATGGGCTCGAGGGCATTCTCTTGGGCCAAGGCAGCCTGCCTCAGCTTGGCCAGCGCCTCTTGGATCCTCTCGGCCTTCTGTGCATCTCGTGCCCACCTGCGTTGCCATGCCTCTTTGCGCAAGTCCACCAGCTGCTGCGGGTGGCGGGTGGTTGATGACCTGGCCCTCGTGCTCAAGGATGTCCTCCAGGTTGCTGCGCTCCGCTGCCTTGGTGTAGGCGTGGGCCATCTTCGCACCGCCTGCCGTGGCGTCGTGCACCCAGTGGATGTACGCCTTCTTCACCGCCTTTGTGAGTAGCTTGGCCATGCTCGTTACCTCCTCTGCTACCCTACTGATCGCCCCTGGGTCCACGAGCGCGCCCTCTGCTATCGCGTGCAGGTCTGTGAGGAGGGCCTGCTGCTGGTCCTTGGCTGCACCTGCTTCGTTTAGCCTGCCTGGGTCAGGCTGGTTGAGCTGCTGTGCGAGCTGCCGTCTTGTGTTGATCTGCTGCTGCGTCTGGTGGCCGCTGTGGGTGCGGACCTGCAGCTCTCGGCGGCTACTCGGGCCACTGCCTGCTCCTGGAGCGTCATGAAGTTGTCCTCGAGCTGCTCCTTCTGGTGCTCGTTCGCCAATAACTTCTCGCATCAGCCTCCGCAGGTCAGCAAGCTCCCTCCAATGCATCATCTCCAACTCGTGCCTCCTCATCGGCTCCTCTCGCGCAAGACCTTGGAGAAAGCCTCGGCGTCGTGGTTCTGCATGTCTCCATGCTCGCTCGCAGAGGTCCCTGATGATGTGGCTGAGGCCGGCCTGCTGGTACCAACGCCTGAGCAGTCTCACCATGCCACTGCTGCCTCCACCACCCAAGATGGTCTCCAGGAACGGCACGCAGATCTGCATCCAGTTGCTGTTGTCCGTGGGGGGCTGCACCAGGTTATCCATCCAGATGGCCGCCCAGCGCTCCAAGTCGTCTTTCATGGCCACGTAGTCTTCCCGCTCCCGCTGGTACTGGTCATCATTCCAGAGGTCTGGTGGGGGCAGGCCCATATCACGTGGCTCCTCTGCCTCTGGGCCTGGCGGCGCTTGGTTCTGACTCCCCAGGTGATCGGTACCCTCTGCCTCCAGAGTGCCAGCTGGCTGAGGAGGTGAGCAGTGCGTGCCGCCTGGGGCAGTTTTACCAGATCCAGCTGCATGGCGACGAACGGTCTGGCCGTAATCGATGCTGTCCTGCTGCCCCTCGATGAGCTGGTGGTACCCGTCGCAGTCCTCCTGATCTGCGATCTCCCGGCGATACTCCAGGTAGTCCTCCTCATCCTCGAAGGGGTCGTGGTCTTGGATGTCCATGGTGCTGCGTCCTGCTGGTGGGAGAAGGGCAGATCCAGCTGCACGACGACGAACGGTCTGGCCGAACTCGAGGCTGTCCTGCTGCCCATCGACGTGCTGGTGGTACCCGTCGCTGTTCTCCTGATCTGCGATCTCCTGGCGGTACTCCAAGTAGTCCTCCTCATCTTCGAAGGGGTCGTGATCTTGGATGTCCCTGGTGCTGCGTCCTGCTGGTGGGGGAAGGGCACCCCTCTGCATTCCTTCTGTGCAGCTGTCTGCGCTGCTGTGGGTTGGTCCCACGTCGAGGTCTGGGACGCGCCCCGTGGCGGCGCACTTGGGGGACGGGAACCCCTGAACCATCTCAGAGCAGGGGCCAGCTGCCTTCCCACGGTCAGCTGCGCTCGCCTGTGTGGGGGGAGGGGGCCTACCTCTTTCTCTAGGCCGGGCCGCCTCGCCCTCACCTCTTGGAAAGCTGCACCCGTCTCAGAGGTCCAGGACGCGTCCTTTGGCGGCGATGCTGGGCTGAGGCAGGGTCGCTCTGGGCTCTCTTGGGCTGGCCCCTCTGCGAGCTCCTGGACCTCAGCCTGAGGAAGGGAGACCTCCTCAAGTGCTGGCTGATTCGCGATGTCCTTGGTGCTGCTGCCGCCGCCTCCAGCTGCGCCTCCACTGCCTGCACGCCGCTGCTGCAGCTCGAGAGGGGCCCTCGCCCCGCTCGGTGGGGGCGCGATCCACCGAGCTTCCTCCCGAGCTCTTCGATGGGCTCATGGCTGGCGCGGGAACCCCGTCATCGTGGCCTACCTGGCTGTCAGACATGACGGGGCCAAGCTCAGGCGCCGACGGGCCCTGTCCACCACCTGAGTCCTCATCGGGAAGTGCCTGGGTCTTGCCCTGGCGACTTGCTGCTGCCTCCTGCGCTCGGGCATCATGGTGCGAGAGCTGCCGCACCAATGAGGAGATCTCCGCCCACCACGCGTGGATCTTCCTCTCGACCCCTGCCCATGGCGTAGAGGTGACGGTGTCCTTGATGCTCGCGCTCTTGTAGATCGGGGGCCGGCTGCGCCCGAGATGTCGCACACGCTCTTCCTCTGGGATGTCGATGCTCTCGCGCAGGCTGAGCTCGAGGGCGCCTGCGAAACGGTCGTACTGCTGCCCCAGGTCCAGCATGTCCCGCTCCATCATCTTGCCGACGACTGCGTGCTGCAAGTGCTGGGGCAACTCGTCGTAGGCGCGCGCGCTGAACGTCAGCCTGCTACAGCTCGTCAGGGATGACGTGCTGGACCTCCTTGTCGTAGTACAGCTGCGGCACTGGCTCCATGTCGTTCTCGTCCTGGTCGCATCCTGCCTCTGCCAACGCTTGCTGACGTCGGCGCATGGCCTCCTGGCCTCCGCGCGCCGCTCGTCTGCAAGCGGCTCTGGACTTCGGCATTTTCTCGACTGTGATTGGCGGCTTTATGGCTGCTGGCCTGCGGAGTACCCTGCCCTTGAGCATGAGAGGTCGCCCCCTCCGCTTCACGCGGATACCGATGTGCGGCTTCCACGGCGCGGTCCTGAGCAGCTCCAGCTAGTCGAAGTACGGCGCCAAGCCCTGCGAGATCAGCGCGAAGTCGACGCACCTGGCTTCACCTTCTGCTGGGAAACATGCGGGGGCGCCATCCTCCGCCGCTGCTACCTGAGCATTCAGCACCCTGGGCCAAATGCTGTTGTTGAGCTCCGACGGCGCCATGTTGAAGTCCCCAAGCGCTGCCCAGGGCCCTCCCCAGACGGCCAACTTCTCCCGCAGGTCGCAGAGGATGTCGACGTTCCGCTCTCCAAAGCCCGTCCCACACTCAAGGTAGACGAAAGCCACTGCGAAACGAACCTTGTGCAGGTTGGAGATCACCACCGTGACGTCACTGCCGTCCTCGCGCAGGTAGTGCTCATCAAAACCCGCGATCCTGTCATGGATGTCCAAGGATCCTCGCGCGATGGCACACGTGCCTCCTCGTGTGCCTTCTCCTTCTCCTGGCCGTGCCTTGGTCCAGTAGCTGTGCGTGCCATTCCGCCTGAGCGCCGCTCTTGCCTCGCTTATCTGCGCAGGCTGGCGGAGGCGGTGCTCTGCGATGCCGATGATGTCCCTGTCCTTGGTGTTGTTGATCTCCATGAGGTAGCCCTGTGCCTGGGGGCCCCAGGTCGTGACGTTGAAGAAGTCGACGCGGCAAGGGCGGCGAGCTTTCTTCGCGCTCGCCCTGGGGCGGCTACCCTGCTGAGTGGTCACCTTGCCCTTCTGCGTCGACGACTGTCTCGGCACGCCTAGCCTGCGAGACCTTCTCTCGCGCCTCCTGGATGTGGGCCTCCACTCTGGCTCGGCGTTCTTCTGCTTTGTCAGGTTATGCTGCGGCTGCTTCTGGTTGGGCAGCTGCTGCGGCGCCGGTGGGCGCAGCCGCGGCGGCTGTCCCTGCTGCCTCAGTGCCAGTGGTGGCACCTCGCTGAGGAGCTGGGCTGGCGGCGCAGACTCGCTTGCCTGGTGGGGCTTCTGCTGCTGCTGGGCCTTGCACTCCGCTCTTTGACAGGCGCTTGGTGCGAGCCTGCTCGAGCTGGCGCAGCTGCTCCTGGTGCCTGGCCGTCTCTTCCTCCAGTAGTCGCAGGTGCTTCGCCGTCTCCTCCTCGTGCTCCTTGACCGTCTGGGCCATGCGCTCGCCCTTGGCCTTCGCTGCTCGCCAGACCTCCTTGTCGGGCTCGGACCACTTGTGGAAGTCGTCTGGCTCATGCTCGAACTGCTCCAGGAGGGCTGCCAGAGTTGGCTTCTCGGCTGCAGGTTCAGCTGGGGCCTCTTGCTTGCCGACTGTGGCCTTGAGCTGGTCGAACTCTTCTTCGGCTGCAATGGAGGCTCCCATGGCTTCACGAAGCTTGCGTTCGCTCTCAGCCAAGTACTGCTGGGCACTCTCGACTTGCTCCCCTGCCGATCGTACTGTCTTCTGGAGTTTGTCCAAGCGTCGTGCTGCTGCTTCCACTGCCTTGAATCCGACGACTGGTTGGTCTGCTGGTGGCTTGGCTGCGGCGAGCTCAGGCCAGAGGGCCTCGTAGTGCTGCCTGAGCGGGTCGTCCTTGCTGAGCTTGCTGTAAGCTGCTGCGGCGGCAGCCTTGAAGTCGACAGTCTTGTCGTGAGGTAGTGGCTGGCGTTGGCCTCCTTGTCCTTTCCCGCCTGCACCACCACCTGGCTGCCAACCATCTGCCCAGCTGATCCTGGGCGAGGTTCCTCCTTGGGGCTGTGCTGCCAGCCACCCACCATCGTCGTCACGGAAGACATGACCGTCGGGGACGAGGCAGGCGAGGTTCTTGCCGCAGATGCAGAGGTCGCCCCTGCTGGTGATATTCCTGCAGTAGCGCCATCTGCTGCACCCGTCACACACCACGTAGCTGTTGCGAGGAGGGCGACTGCCACTGCTGCTCCTCTTCCACGGGGGAACCCTCTGGCCATTCGGGGTCCCCGACCAGGCGCTGCCCGCCCCGCGTCCGCCGCCGCCACGCCCCATGGCTGCTGCGGTGCCGCGCGCGCGCGCCCGACGCCCGTCTGGGAACTGTCCTCGGTCCAGAGGTCTCCCTTCGGCCTGGAGGCTGGACAGCCCCCCAGGTCGTCATCTTGAGCCAAAATGGCTACGGAGGAGGAGGAGGGGGAGGAGGAGGAGGAGGAGGAGGAGGGGGGGGAGGAGGGGGAGGAGGAGGAGGAGGAGGCGGCAGATGCCGCAGGGGCCGAGCGGAAGCAAATGCCGCAGGGGCAGCGCGGTCACGGCAAGGCGCTGCGCGGGACTGCACCCCGGAGGGCTCGGGGATCGGCGACCGGGGCCCCGTCGGGGGCCCGCCTCGCTCCTCCGAGGCCCCCATCGAGGCCCCCCCCCCGGGGCCCTCGACCCCCTCGAGGCCCTTCGAGGCCCCTCGAGGCCCCTCCTAGGCCCCTCCTAGGCCCCTCGAGGCCCCCCCCGGGCCCTCGACCCCCTCGAGGCCCTTCGAGGCCCCCCCCGGGCCCCTCGAGGCCCTTCCTAGGCCCCTCGAGGCTCCTCGAGGCCCCTTCGAGGCCCCCATCGAGGCCCCCCTGGGGGCCCTCGGGGCCCCTCCGCTCCCCGACATGGCCCCAGGAAGGCCCCCCCTCGGCCCCGAGGCGGCCCCAGGCGCGACCAGAAAAGTGTTGTGTAAAAAATATGGTCGCGAACCCCCTCAAAAGGGCCCGATGCCCCAAGGTCGCCGCCGTCGTCGTCGTCGTCGTCGTCGCCGCCGTCGCCGCGTCGTCGTCGTCGTCGTCGTCGTCGTCGTCGTCGTCGTCGTCGTCGTCGTCGTCGTCGTCGTCGTCGTCGTCGTCGTCGTCGTCGTCGTCGTCGGTCGTCGTCGTCGTCGTCGTCGTCGTCGTCGTCGTCGTCGTCGTCGTCGTCGTCGTCGTCGTCGTCGTCGTCGTCGTCGTCGTCGTCGTCGTCGTCGTCGTCGTCGTCGTCGTCGTCGTCGTCGTCGTCGTCGTCGTCGTCGTCGTCGTCGTCGTCGTCGTCGTCGTCGTCGTCGGTCGTCGTCGTCGTCGTCGTCGTCGTCGTCGTCGTCGTCGTCGTCGTCGTCGTCGTCGTCGTCGTCGTCGTCGTCGTCGTCGTCGTCGTCGTCGTCGTCGTCGTCGTCGTCGTCGTCGTCGTCGTCGTCGTCGTGGCCCAAGGTCGCGGCCGTTGCCGTCGCCGTCGCCGTCGCCATCGCCGTCGCCGTCCCCGTCGCCGTCGCCGCCGCCGCCGCCGTCGTCGTCGTCGTCGTCGTCGTCGTCCGTTTCGTCCGTGTCCGTGTCGTCACCCGTGTCTTCCCAAGATTGTTGATCCGCCAAATCGGAGAGGGCTGGATCCACAGGACAACGATAGAAGTGGGCTGCCACATCGAATTGGCCCCGCGCCACATCAGGCGAAGCCGAAACCAAAATATCGCACATCGGAATACCCGCATCGAATCGGATCGGGTCCGAACTAACCGTGAGAGATCGGTTCGAATCGGCCCAGGGGAGTCGCAACCTGCAGGGGTACAGGCACAGTTCGCGAGTGTAAGACGAAGCCAGGACAGGGAAAGCATCGGACAGGGATACATCGGGAATCTCTGAGGCGCGGCGGTTCTGGAAGATGTATCTGGCACCGCGGCTTTCTGAGAGCGTCCAGGATCGCTCCGAGAGCGCTCTGGAACGCTCTGGCACGATCTACAGAAGAGGCCAGTCCACAAGAAACCTTCCGCAAGAAACCCAACCCCGAGACCCCATGACGTCCATGGATTGTTGGTGCGGGAACGCCACGCTTTCCACAGCAAAACCGTCGAAACCCAAGAAACCCAGGGCACCTGGGGCAAGCAGGGTGCTCCTCGGGAGGAAGAGGAGGAGGAGGAGGAGGAGGAGGAGGAGGAGGAGGAGGAGGAGGAGGAGGAGGAGGAGGGGGAGGAGGGCTTCTTGGCATGGGCCATGTCGCGAAGCCCAGCCAGCCGCTCTGCATCTCCCAAGCCCGGGCCGACGGCGGGCGGACGGAAAAGGGGCCCAGGGACACACAAACAAAGACACACACACAACTCCCAGGAATCCCCAGGTGTTCCTATATGCTCTGGGTTTTCGCCTTCCACCCACTTCCCGTACTCTCCCGTATCTCCTGGGAGTCGACGATCACTTGTGCCTGTGTGTTTCTTCCCCTCCCGAGGACAAGGGGGAATCGGCCCCACGTGGCTCCCAAACCCGGGCCAGCCAGAAGGGTGTGGCCGACCCCCGGTAGCGCTGAGCCCCGTGGTGTGGGCCCCCGACGCCAAGTTTTTGTCTCCTGGCGTGGACCCCCAGAGGTCTCGACCCGTCCCTCGGGACTGGTTCTACAGGCCTCGGAAAAATAGCGAACACTCATGCCACATTCATCTGTGAACGCCTCCCCCCCCAATGTTCAAAGCTGGCGGTGGGTCTGATGAGTTGCACCTCGACCGCAGTCTCCCCCGCGCGTGCCAACTTTGAGTTGGGGGGGCAGGGGGGGTGTTCACTACTTGCTTCCCTCTACCGTATTTGTCCCGACCCAATCAGTTTTGACGGTTCCGAGGCCCGGGAAGGCCCCCCAGCTTCCGTCGTGACTCTGTTGTTGTGTGCGTGGGGGCCCCAGGGGTCTTGGCCGCGTGGGCCCCGAGCTGGTCGCAGACCCCGAGGCCCGGGCCCCCGACGGCGTGACTTGTTTCAGAACGTCGACCCTCAGACAGAGGATCCTCAGGACGACGTGTCCGCCCCAACGTGTGTTAGTCCATCGAGGCCCTTCGATACGACGCAGGCGGTGTCATGATCTACCGGTTGGGCTGAAGGGGGTAACACACACATCGGGCTAACACACGCCCTGAGGATCATCGATCAAAGGTCTCGACCCCTTCCCTGGGACCGGTGTTCCATCCCCGAGTCGTCTTTCTGGCCTTCGCTCGGACGTCCATTCCCTGAGCTTTTTGTTCCTTTTGTGCGTGCTTTTTTCGCCAAATGATCAAGGATGCTCCTCGATGGCCCTCGCCGAGGAAAAATGCACACGTCCGAGCGATGCCAGGCTTTTGACGGTCCCGAGGCTCGGGGAGGACCTCCAGAGGCCTAAAAAAACGGAAAAACCTCCCGTCCTAACTCTTTCCTTGCCCGAAGGGGGTCTGCGGGGGAGCCGGTCCGCCAGCGCAGCGATGCTCTCCAGCGCCGGGGCCCACGCGGCGCGCCAGTCGCCCGAGTCGCGCCGCGCCGTGAGGCGCTGCCGCACCTCGCGGGTGCAGTAGGCGAAGGGGTGCAGGTGGCGCGCCAGCTCGGGGGGGCACGGCTCCGCGAGGCCCTCGCGGGCGGCGCTTGCCCGGGCCGGGTCGTCGTCGTCGTCGTCGTCGTCGTCATCGTCGGCGTCGTCGTCGTCGCCGTCGTCGGCGGCGGCGTCGTCGTCGTCGTCGTCGGCTGCACGCGCAGGAGCTTGCCATCGCCCGGGCGTCCATTCGCCCTGGGCGCTGTTGGGTCTCGTGCATATGTGTATGTTTTCGTGGCTGTTCAAGGTGGCCCCAGGGTTGTGCAGGGACCGACCGTCCCTGCCGTCCTACACGGCTCCTGCGAGATGCTCTTAGGACCAAGAAATGTTCGAAACAAGACGGTATCAGCAACGCGCAAGATGTTCGAAGCAAGACGGACTCTAGAAACATGTTCGAAACAAGATGTTCGGAACGTTATGAGAACACTTCGTGCAAACCACAACAGGTTCTCAGAACACTCCTTGGTGGGCCTAGAGGCAGGCCGGGACGCCTCGCCGCTGCTTGACAGAGGTGGACCAGACTTTCCCGACCTGGCGCCTCGCCGAGAAAAAGGCACACGTCCAAAAGCGATGCCAGCAGAGTGGCCCCTCGGGCGAGAGGGAGCTCTGGTGCGCGGCTCTGGAGGGGCCGCTGGGGGTCCACAGGCCGCCCTGCGCAGGCTGGCGCCAGGGGTCACCCCTTTGGGCCCGCAGCAGAAGTCATTCCGGCGAAGGGCCACTCCTCCTGGCAGCTGGGGAAGGCAGAAGGGGACGGGCCTCGTCGGAAGGCTCAGGAAGGCTCCCCGCTTCCCAAGGAGCTCTCGGAGCCTTCTCCGAGGCCGCGGAGGGCTTCTCGGAAGGCCAGAGGGCTTCTCTCAAGCCCCGCGCCGCCTTCTGCAAGGCCTGCCCGGATCTGCACTCCCCCTTGGGGGAACCAAAAGGCCAAAAGGTACCGATACCGCTACTCCCAGGACCTCTCCTAGGGTGCGTTCTGACCGTTCTGACCAGGATTTCGAAGCGAATCCAGCAGTGGCGACGAGGGCCTCCGAGGAGGCCCAAAAAGGAGAAAACGAGGGAAGGGTAGAGGTATGGGTACTTTTTCCTCCTCTGACCATCTGCACTCCCCCTGAGAGCGCTCCCGACCTTGTCGATCAGCAGCAGGCACTCCTTGAAGTCCTCGAGCTGCGTCGCGAAGAGGGCCGGGTCCCGCTCCTCCCACATCTTCGCCTGAGCGGCTCGCACCTGCTTCAGGCGACTGTCGACCGCATCCGCTGGATTCCCGTGGGCGTCCTGGAGTTCCGCCAAGAAGCGCCAGTAGCAAGGCTGAGAGGAGATCTTTGACGTCAGGTGTCGCAAGAAGTCCGTCAGCATCTTGGCAAACGCGCCGCCTGTGCGCGAGTCGTAGAGGCCGTCCACGTCGCCCACGACGACCGAGGTGAGCAGCCCCAGGATCCTCTCTTGGATGCGGCCAGCCTGATCCAGGTCAACCAGGCGCCTCATGGCCTGGACGCAGCCCTGCACGTCTCGCAGCTGCATGCAGATGCCCAGGAAGCTCTCCCACATTCTCCAGGCGTTCTTGCTCCTGTGGGCTCCCGCGGACACACCAAACTGTCACCGAGGAGGAGGAGGAGGAGGAGGAGGAGGAGGAGGAGGAGGAGGAAGGCGAGGAGGAAGACGCCGAGGACGAGGGACAGGAGGAAAAAAAAGGGCAACGAGGCAGAGACTTCCCCTTATTCGGAAATTGCCACTGCACCTCATCGCGCCTCACTCAACACTAGATTCACTGTTGTGCCGACTGTTCGTAGGAAAACGCATTTCTCCCTTTGTCTGCCTCCTCGAGCCCCCTCCTGCATCCTGCCTCCTCTTCATCCTCCTGCCTCTTCCTCCTCCTCCTGCCTCGCCCTGCATCCTCATCCTCCTGCCTCCTCCTGCCTCCTCATGCCTCCTCCTGCTGCTCCTCATCCTCCTCCTGCTCCTCCCCCTCCTCCTCCTCCTCCTCCTCCTCCTCCTCCTCCTCCTCCTCTCTCTCTTTCTCCTCGTCCTCCTCCTCCTCTTCCTGGATCCCAGGCCCTCCCTCCCTCCCGCCCTCCTCCTGCTCCTCCTCCTCCTCCTCCTCCTCCTCCTCCTCGCCCTCGTCCTCCTCCTGCTCCTCCTCCTCCTCCTCGTCCTCCTCCTCGTCCTCCTCCTCCTGCTCCTCCTCCTCCTCCTCGTCCTCCTCCTCGTCCTCCTCCTCCTCCTGCTCGTCCTCCTCCTCGTCCTCCTCCTCCTCGTTCTCGTCCTCGCCCTCCTCCTCAGCCAGTTCGGCCCCATCGGGCGGCCGGGGACTGCCGCCTCGTGCAGGTGGGGAGCAGCGCAGCACCCGGAGCGGCACTGCTCCCCCGAGCCATGGCCCCCGGGACCGCGCCGCCTGCGGCGCGAAGGGGCGGTGGGCCAAACACAGGCGACGCTGGCAGTGCTTCGGGGGGCCCCCAGGGCCCCATCGGCGTGTGACTCCCTCGTACTTCGTCTGGAAGACACATCGCGCGTCGACAGTAGCACGCCGATGGGGCCCTGGGGGCCCCATC